AAAAGAAAAGCATCCGTAAGTGGCTAAACGCATCGTGGCTTTGGGAAGAGATGACAGGGCTGGAGTGATAATTATGAATGGATTGGAAAATGGCTACTCCAATATGTTCTATCAAGCTTAAAACTACGGGCTTGTCCTTCACAGAGCGCGAGTGCGGCTGACCCGGACACTGGGATCTATGTAGCATGTCCGATGGAGAACACGCTCCAAACAAGATGGGAGCGGATCTGAGCTGAACTTTTGGCTTGCATTTTAAAGGAGATATATTCTGCAATTTTGTTACAACAATGTTCCCTCATCAGTTACAGACCTTGATTTTCTGCAGTACCAATCCACTCTGATATCAGGAACTTCTGATGCAAACATTCATCTCCACCCCCTTCTGTCTGAAAGATTCAAGAATCTATTCGCCATTTGCTGTAAAACCACATTGGAAAAGCTGTGCAAGACTACCCCAGTGTGCACCAGACAGAGAAGATGGTACACACCAGAGCTCTTGCCACGACATCCAAATATCGTAAATGTGTCAAGGAAACGACTTTTCTTATCGGTGATCATGAAGCTGGTACGGCTGCCAGGAGGATCGCAGTTGGGAAATAACGTCAATACTGTTTTTCTGAAGCCGGAGGTTACTTTTCTTACTGTTCGTTGACTATGACATCCTGTATAAAGCTATATCCTTTTTTCATTTTTTATATAAAGTGATTGCCTCTTGATGACTTTTGTGTGTCCACATATTTTACACTAAATAAATCATTTCACATTTTAAAACCTGAAAGGCCAAACTAAAAAGATCATGTTTCGGGGTTAAATGAGCAAAAACACAAAACAACACATTTGTACTTTAACATATTTAGCAAAGTCTGATGTGCAGTAGCACTATCATCACATCGTGAATTAAAAAGCAGATGGTTTGATTGACAGGAGGTCGACAGAGAACGATGTTAAAGAAAGATTTGAAACAACAGGAGTGCGGTCTGAACGCTTCATTTGACCCTGATCCATTTTCACGGCCAACTGCTCTTTCCATTCTGCTCTCTGCTCCACATCTGGCAACCCACACGAGACTGAGCCATGGGGATCTGCACTCACACTACGTGTTTTATCTTTTTCTTTATTGTACTGGTGTTAACTTCCAGTTTGTGTTGTTTTGTTAAAGGAATCTGAAAATTCCTGATTGAAAACACATTCTTTGTTGTGCACTGGACAAAAACGGACAAAAAGGTGACTGAGAGAAATAATAAAATACACTAAGAACAAAAATGGCTGATATATTGGGTGTTGTCGTGGATTTTAAATACAGCACACGCATACATATGTGTCAACATTTATCAAAATATGTTTTTTCATGAAATGTTTTATATCAAAGTGTTTTTACGTCAATCATTAAGTGTTTCCATACAAGTGTGTTTATATGATGTGTTAGCCTCATTTTTGTCGTTGAAAAATATGTAAACAAAAAAATGAAATGATATCCAAACCCATATTTAATTAAAGTAATAATTTAGAAAAATTAACACCTCAATAGGAAAGAACCGGCATAACACAAGGAGAGAAACAGAGGACCGGCATAACTCTAGTGGGGCTTTCAGACCGCCAACGCTGAAACGCTGAAGCCCCGCTCACCAGACGCGCATTCTCTGTTTTCAGACGCAGAGGACTTCACACCAGAACGTCCTGACGCGAGCCGGAAGTAGCCGGCCGGCTCTAATGCTAACAGAGCTATGCTAGTGGCTTCTTGTGTACAGATCTTCTCCAATATGCAGCTCAGCTTTGTCCGCTAATGTCCCCGTGACCACTTTGCTGCTCTCTGATTGGTTGTCGCACGAATGTACCAAGGAAAGGATGAGCAGAATCCATTTCCTGTGGGCGTTGTTTTTTCGCTCCTGCTCCTCCCTTTTCACTTTCCCGCCAAGTCCGTGCGTCATTATTGAACAGTCCGTTCGTGCGTGCCGAGAGGTCCGTGCGTTGTAACGGGGGAACGCGCGCTACCATAGACTTTGCATTGAAACCCGACGCAACGCATGATCCGGTCTGAAAGCACCATAGGAGAAAGACAGGAGAGGACCATGTGAAAGATCCCAGACGTAAGACAAAAATGAGACTTGGACGAACTGCGTAGTTCGAATAGAGTTTTATTGTCAGAAGGTTTGAGCGTAGTCTGATCAAGCACAACGCAGCTTCCCTGTCAGAAGTCTGTCTGCAGAAGTCTGTCGTAAAATCACAGGTTACTCCTTATATACACTGTAAATGATTACATAAGCATGACTATGCATAGCATGACTATGCAGTAAACGTATGGTTTCAATGTACAACTGTGATATAACTATGTTTTTTGTAATGGAGCAAACTCTAATGTACATTGAGATAGCACCATCTCATGCTATGCACATGTTCAGTGTTTGTTCTGTACAAACACCTTATCTGCTCCATGCCTTTGCAAGCAGTCCAAAGTACAGGTGTTATGTCTCTACTGAACTTATTTAACATGATATTTTAAACAGCAAATAGTAATTAAATATTCACAGTCCCTCTCTTGATCACATCCACATGTGATCACAAATCAATATTTAATGTAGAGGCGCAAGTCGCTACCTCTCCGTTGATTATACTAGTTTGTAATCATCAGATTATATGACTGTTGAAAAATACAATATAATTTTTAAAACAAGTTTTTTTATTTTATTTTTAAAGTCTTAACTTTTATTATTTTTATTGTTAGATGAACAAGCAACACAAAAGACAAATTAATAAGTGAGGTGTTTTACAGTTATGGTTTTGTTCTAATAAGTTATCTAATTTTTTAGTAAATAAGGTCCAAGTCAGATGCTTGGATGGCACGTAGGATAATGTTATTTGGACTGGTTTCTTCTTCTTCTGACTCAGGTTCATCAGAGAATAAGTCTCTATGTTGTCTTGCTTCCTGCACCATCATCTGAAGGGCTTTAGAATATGAAGGGGGCTCTGCAAACGCACGATCAATTGTTCTTTGGATCAGTCCCCTAATGCAAGGAATACAACAACAGCCACAAGTTATCAACATACAGATTGATATTATAATTGAGGTTCCTACCATTGCAAAATATTTTCCCCATATTCCAAATGTTTTCTCCAGCCAGTCAATTAAGGGATTGTTGACACCAGACATGTCTTTCAATTCAGTGGAGAGTGCTCTAAGTTTATTAAGAGTTCTAGTCAATTTTCCATCAGGAGCAGTATTATTAACTATGGACGTACAGCAAAGACTTCCAAACATAGAACACACCCCCCCTTTCTCCGCTAGTATCATATCTAATGCCATTCTATTCTGTAAGGCCATTAGGGATGTTTGACTTAATTGTTCATGAGTAGCCTCGAAACCATCTCGAGTGTAGTTGGCTAGGCGTTGTACATTATAATGGATAAGATTAATTCTGTTTACATTTTTGTTAACCGTTACAGGGAAAAATGCTGAGAAAATGGGAAATGATTCAAAACCTGCTGCTACTTCATCTACTAATTTATACTCATCTGGAATTCCTCTGACTTGTCCAATGGCGTCAATCCAATGTCCAGATGACATGTCATTTAAAGGGTTGATGGACCTTTTGGCTCTATGGCGAATGATGACTTTGTCATCCCATTCCCATAATTTCGCATCTGGAAAACTTAAAGCAGCACTCATTAGAGATACAAGGGCACATGTGCCAGTCCATTTTGGTGGTAAACTTCCATATAGAGCAGAACCTCCACAATACCACCACACATCAGCTCTAGCAGTTGTAAATGGTATGTCAATGTTGTTGCTTTTGAGTCTATAGGTGCTTTTACATACTTCAAGATGTCCTAAATCATGAAACTCTTTTAAATCTACATATGTGTGGCTAGGGTGTTCAATTGTGATGCATGTAACATTTAAATTGGTAACTTGAGTGCTAAACATAGGTGGTGAAACTCCTTTTTTTGTGACTGGATAAATATTTTCCCACCCTCTACAGTTAGGACCCGTGTTATCTTTAGACATTACTTCTATCATACATCCTATATCTATACCTTTAGTTGTTGTGCCATTTTTGTTTGTCTCAAAAGTTGTATGAGTTAACATTAATTTTGGTCTAGCTGTTTGACATATTATGCAGTCTGTTTGGTTTGCTTGTTCAGCTTGTTGCCTAACATTTTCTAACCAAACATTACTTTCGACGTAGCCCGTTTCAATAGCAAGTTGTACTTTAGGATTTTTGTTGTTATTATCAATTATCTTTATCCAAGGTAAAGTTTTATCAGGTGTTGCAGAGGTATCAAAGGCTATTTTTACAACTACTTTCCTTGTGTAATGTCCTGATGTACCAAAAGTAAGGTATAAGGGTTTTAGATTATTTAACAAGGGGTTGTTTTCCAATCTATTGATGGTGAAGGCTAAAAGATTTCTTCTTGGACCCTGAATGGGATAATGACTTTTGCTTTTGCTCTTTATTACTGTTATTTTATCTGCAGCTTTTGCAGGACCACGATAATTGGAAGATTGTGTAGGATCTGAATGGGTCCAGTGATTCTTTGATAGGCAGAGTCTACTCATCTGGGTACAATGTGTTTGCATTTGGTCTTCACCACAAATGTAGACATCCCCTCCCCTCCACTGGGAGTGGTCGTCACTACAAGTAAAAACAGAGCAAAAGTCAAAAACATATGTCCAGTCCTCTCCTGGTTTGTAGTTTAATTCTAGTCCTCCATGTTTGGCTATGCAGGGGTCAACATTGGTTAACAAGGGGTTTTTGTCTAATCTATTGATAGTGAAGACTAAAAGCTTTCTTCCTGGTTTGTAGTTTGTTTGGTTGCTTGCTAAGATATAAGATGGTTTAACAATACTTTCATTTTTAGTTGTTGGAGTAATTTGTTGCATATTTACATTATTTTTTGGTGATGGACATATAATGTACCACCATACTAAAACAAAAACAATAGTAATGATTGCAAAGAAATATAAGATTTCTGGAACGTCGCAAGGGATGCAACTGCATGTCCTATACTTCCCCATTTCCCTCTCTTTCCCCCTCCGGAGCCCCGGAGCTGGGTTGCGTAGAGAGATCTTCACCATCAGCCGATGAGTAAGGGGTTGAATCTGGACCAACAGCTGCAGCAATGTCTGCTTTAACTTGCGTCAGAGTCCTCTCCGTTGGGTCCACGGGGCATTTGAAGCAGTGTGAAAGATGGTACCACACCTTGGACTGTCCTCGTTGGACCTGCACAGATCTTCCAGTTGATTGAACAACTAAGTATGGTCCAGTTTGGTAGGGCTGAGTCCAGTTGTTATGTCTGTGTGTACTTTAACAAATACCCAAGAGCCAGGTGTAACTACTGTGTCAGGCTCGGGATGGATTTGTGAGTCATGAACTCTCTTATTCTGAACGTGTGTCTGTGGTTCTAAAGTCTTATATAAACATGTGTCTGTGGTTCTAAAGTCTTATACTAAACATGTGTCTGTGGTTCTAAAGTCTTATTCTGAACATGTGTCTGTGGTTCTAAAGTCTTATTCTGAACGTGTGTCTGTGGTTCTAAAGTCTTATTCTGAACGTGTGTCTGTGGTTCTAAAGTCTTATTCTGAACGTGTGTCTGTGGTTCTAAAGTCTTATTCTGAACGTGTGTCTGTGGTTCTAAAGTCTTATATAAACGTGTGTCTGTGGTTCTAAAGTCTTATTCTGAACGTGTGTCTGTGGTTCTAAAGTCTTATATAAACGTGTGTCTGTGGTTCTAAAGTCTTATTCTGAACGTGTGTCTGTGGTTCTAAAGTCTTATTCTGAACGTGTGTCTGTGGTTCTAAAGTCTTATATAAACGTGTGTCTGTGGTTCTAAAGTCTTATATAAACGTGTGTCTGTGGTTCTAAAGTCTTATATAAACGTGTGTCTGTGGTTCTAAAGTCTTATACTGAACATGTGTCTGTGGTTCTAAAGTCTAAAACATGATGGTATGTGTCATATCTATATCTTTTACTAAACGTAGTTAGAGTGAAACATTGATTCATGGTTCAAAATACACCCATTTTAAGGTTTATTTGTGTCAAAGCGGCAGCAGGAGCAATGCCATAAACAAAGCCAATCAGAGGCGTTGAAATTAAAAAGTTATTATATTGATTTATTACTTATCTATAACACAAAAACACATTGCAAAGGTGGGAAATACATGCTTTTAATATGTTTTATCAGAAAAAAAATAGTTTTTAATAACATTAGTGCCCTTTTAACTTAATCCCATCACTTTTACAGTGCTGTTCTCTGGCCTCAGACCCACAAGTCTGTCTCCTTCTGCTGTAATGATCTAACCTGGTCGTACCACACCATAGTACACATTACATATCGTACTGTGTCGTACTGTTTCGTTCTGTTCGCTCCATTGACTCAGTTAACAGGTGGGAGGGGTTAACTCCTTTTGCGGATTGATACGATTGGATCTGAGTTTACCGTCACGTATGTAATGAGCCCAAGTGAGTTGTTAGCATTTAGCATTTAGCCTAGCTTTAGCCATCTCCTTTGCCGCTAACGGAGCCCGTGGAGAGTAGCGCCACAATCTTTGCCAGCGATTAAATGCGAGGACCATGAAGGCACTCACCATGAACCCGGGGGCACAGACGCAGGCCCCGCTCACCGGGTGGCAGTCGGCTCCGTTGGCGCAGCTGCAGGACTCGGAACAGATCTCTCCATAGGACCCTGGGGGGCAGCTCTCGTTACAGAAGAGGCCGGTCCATCCAGACGCACAGGTACACTCTCCAGACAGAGGGTGGCAGCTACACACACACATACACACATACACACACACAGAGACACACAGAGACAAACACACACACACACACACAAAGAGAAAAAATTATCTTGTTTTAAAACGATACAGAAATGTCTCCTGTGGAATGAGAAAATAAAGTAACACTTCTTGAAATAAGACTAAATGGTTTTGTCCTATGTTGTAAGTGTCTCTCTCTCTGGTGTCTCCCTTTGGTCTCTCGCTGGTCTCTCTCTAGTCTCTCTCTAGTCTCTCTCCCTCTGGTCTCTCTCTAGTCTCTCTCCCTCTGGTCTCTCTCTGGTCTCCCTCTGGTCTCTCTCTCTGGTCTCTCTCTGGTCTCTCCCTCTGGTCTCTCCCTCTGGTCTCTCTCTAGTCTCTCTCTCTAGTCTCTCTCTCTGGTCTCTCTCTGGTCTCTCCCTCTGGTCTCTCTCTCTGGTCTCTCTCTCTGGTCTCTCTCTCTGGTCTCTCTCTCTGGTCTCTCTCTCTAGTCTCTCTCTCTGGTCTCTCTCTCTGGTCTCTCTCTGGTCTCTCCCTCTGGTCTCTCTCTCTGGTCTCTCTCTCTGGTCTCTCTCTCTGGTCTCTCTCTGGTCTCTCCCTCTGGTCTCTCTCTCTGGTCTCTCTCTCTGGTCTCTCTCTCTGGTCTCTCTCTGGTCTCTCCCTCTGGTCTCTCTCTCTGGTCTCTCCGTCTGGTCTCTCTCTCTGGTCTCTCTCTAGTCTCTCTCTCTGGTCTCTCTCGCCCCTGCTTTGTCTCATTGATAAATCTTGTTTTACTTCAGAATGTGCTCAGATTAATACATTTCCAAAGTTTGATTGTTTTTTAACTTTTGAGTTCCCGTGCTCTGGTCCGGCCTCAGATAAACGTCCCCGTCTCCTTTAATGACTTCTATAGTTCCACTTCTGCATTGACTATGAATGCAGCAGCTCAGAAATTATGAATGAAGTCAAGGTCACCATTAACACCCGGAGTGGACGACACAGAAGTGACAAGACTCAGAATGAGTCTGATCAGACCAGAGAGAGAGAGACCAGAGAGAGATCAGAGAGAGACCAGAGAGAGAGACCAGAGAGAGACCAGAGAGAGACCAGAGAGAGAGACCAGAGAGAGAGACCAGAGAGAGACTGGAGAGAGAAACCAGAGAGAGACCAGAGACCAGAGAGAGAGACCAGAGATAGACCAGAGAGAGATCAGAGAGAGACCAGAGAGAGAGACCAGAGAGAGATCAGAGAGAGACCAGAGAGAGAGAGACCAGAGAGAGACCAGAGAGAGAGACCAGAGAGAGATCAGAGACCAGAGAGAGAGACCAGAGACCAGAGAGAGAGACCAGAGAGAGACCAGAGAGAGACCAGAGAGAGAGAGACCAGCGAGAGATCAGAGAGAGACCAGAGAGAGACCAGAGACAGACCAGAGAGAGAGACCAGAGAGAGAGACCAGAGAGAGATCAGAGAGAGAGACCAGAAAGAGATCAGAGAGAGACCAGAGAGAGATCAGAGAGAGACCAGAGAGAGAGACCAGAGACCAGAGAGAGACCAGAGAGAGACCAGAGAGAGAGACCAGAGACCAGAGAGAAAGACCAGAGAGAGACCAGAGAGAGACCAGAGAGAGAGAGACCAGAGAGAGACCAGAGAGAGATCAGAGAGAGACCAGAGAGAGAGACCAGAGAGAGAGACCAGAGAGAGATCAGAGAGAGAGACCAGAGATAGACCAGAGAGAGAGACCAGAGAGAGACCAGCGAGAGAGACCAGAGAGAGACCAGAGAGAGAGACCAGAGAGAGAGACCAGAGAGAGACCAGAGAGAGAGACCAGAGAGAGAGACCAGAGACCAGAGAGAGAGACCAGAGAGAGAGACCAGAGAGAGACCAGAGAGAGATCAGAGAGAGACCAGAGAGAGAGACCAGAGAGAGATCAGAGAGAGAGACCAGAGATAGACCAGAGAGAGAGACCAGAGAGAGACCAGAGAGACCAGAGAGAGACCAGAGAGAGAGACCAGAGAGAGAGACCAGAGAGAGACCAGAGAGAGAGACCAGAGAGAGACCAGAGAGAGATCAGAGAGAGACCAGAGAGAGAGACCAGAGAGAGATCAGAGAGAGAGACCAGAGATAGACCAGAGAGAGAGACCAGAGAGAGACCAGCGAGAGAGACCAGAGATAGACCAGAGAGAGAGACCAGAGAGAGACCAGCGAGAGAAACCAGAGAGAGAGACCAGAGAGAGAAACCAGAGAGAGAGCAGAGAGAGACCAGCGAGAGACCAGAGAGAGAGAGACCAGAGATAGAAACCAGAGAGAGACCAGCGAGAGACCTGTGAGAGAAACCAGAGAGAGACCAGAGAGAGACCAGCGAGAGAGACCAGAGAGAGACCAGAGAGAGACCAGCGAGAGACCAGAGAGAGACCAGAGAGAGACCAGAGAGAGACCAGAGATAGAAACCAGAGAGATAGCAGAGAGAGACCAGAGAGAGACCAGAGAGAGACCAGAGAGAGACCAGAGAGAGACCAGAGAGAGACCAGAGAGAGAGACCAGAGATAGAAACCAGAGAGACCAGAGAGAGAGACCAGAGAGAGACCAGAGAGAGAGACCAGAGAGAGACCAGAGAGACCAGAGAGAGACCAGAGAGAGGCCAGAGAGAGAGACCAGAGAGAGACCAGAGAGAGAGACCAGAGAGAGACCAGAGAGACCAGAGAGAGAGACCAGAGAGAGACCAGAGAGACCAGAGAGAGAGACCAGAGAGAGACCAGAGAGACCAGAGAGAGAGACCAGAGAGAGACCAGAGAGACCAGAGAGAGAGACCAGAGAGAGACCAGAGAGACCAGAGAGAGAGCAGCGTATATAGCATACGGCTCCCACAAGTTCCATTCATCTTTTCTTGATGCACAATTAACTGTCAGCTGAGAGTGATTTAGTGTTCCCTGTCAGAAGTGGAGTTCCTGAAGAAGACGACGCCGTGTTTAGGACGTTATGTAAATAAAGACCGAGGTGGTTATAGATGATTTTAGCATCTCCAGTGGTTTAGCCTTAATTAGCGACGCGGCGCTAAATAACAAATGTAGCATTAGCACAGAGCGAAATTAGGAATCTTTAAAAACACCCACTGTAAGGCTGTACACGGGAAAGAAAAAAAAAAGTTAATAATTGCTTAAATTGAGTGTATTTTGTCTTAACCTGAGCACATTCTGACTGTCCCGTTGGAGAATCTTGTTTTCATTTAGTCTTAGTCAGAATGTGCTGAAATAAAAATCATTTTGGCCAAATTTGAGCGATTTTTAAACTATTTTTCATCACTTTTTGCAGTGTGATAATTGACTTCACGTAAAAACCCTGAAAAAATATCTAAACAAAACATAATCATCACCACTTTAACAAAGGGATAAAAGAGTCTGTATCATGTGTTGGTTTCACACCTGAAGTTGAATTACAGAAATAAATGTGCCAAATGTGTGGTTAGCGTATGTGTGTGTGTGGTTAGCATATGTGTGTGTAGTTAGCGTATGTGTGTGTGGTTAGAAAGTGTGTATGTGCTCAGTGTATATATGTGTGTGGTTAGCATGTTATATGTATGGTTAGCATATGTGGTTGGCATGTGTGTGTGGTTAGTGTATGTGTGTGTGGTTAGTGTATGTGTGTGTGTGGTTAGTGTATGTGTGTGTGTGGTTAGTGTATGTGTGTGTGGTTAGTGTATGTGTGTGTGGTTAGTGTATGTGTGTGTGTGGTTAGTGTATGTGTGTGTGGTTAGTGTATGTGTGTGTGGTTAGTGTATGTGTGTGTGTGGTTAGTGTATGTGTGTGTGGTTAGTGTATGTGTGTGTGTGGTTAGCATGTCATATGTGTGGTTAGTGTGTGTGGTTAGTATTTGTGGTTAGCATGTGTGTGCGTGTGGTTAGTGTGTGTAGTTAGCATGTGCGTGCTCACCTCAGGCTGTTGCTGCTGTTACAGGGGCAGTGTGTGTGTGGTTAGTGTGTGTGATTAGTGTGTGTGTGTATGTGTGTGTGTAGTTAGCATGTGCGTGCTCACCTCAGGCTGTTGCTGCTGTTACAGGGGCAGTACTTGTCGCAGATGAGGCCGTACAAACCGCTCGGACAGAAGCGCTCCTGACAGTTAGGGCCTTTAAAGCCCGTCTCGCACATGCAGGCCCCGGTGATGTGGTGGCACTTGGCTCCGTTCTGACACTGACACCTGTGGTTGCACTGCGGGCCATAGGTGCCCACGGGACAGTCCTCCTGACACCTGAGAGAGCCGCAGATAATGACAGGGAAATGTCACACACATTGTTAAAACTGGAGGAGATTTTTTGGTTGTGGCCAAAGTCTCTGCCCACAGTGTCCATTATACAGACGCCTCCGCCACAGCTGTCACTTCTATATTCTGTTACTCCAACACAGCAGGGAATATTCTACTAATATCATTGATCAAATTCAACATTTGTTCTTTTGGTTTTTCAGCCAAACAAACAGCTCATTCTCTATTGAGGACGATGGAGAATGATTTCCTCTAAAACAAACTGACGACTTCATTGCGAAGGAGAATCAATCTCCAACAACTCACCATGTTCTATTCTGTTTGTAGTTATTGTTCTCCTCTGAACAAGCTTTGCCCCCAGCTTCACCTGCCACTGACTAAATGAACGAGGGCAATTTTGCAAAAAGATAAACACAGGGCGTTTAGGAGGAAGTCTTTTCATCCTGGACACGATCGCTTTAGCAAAGCTAATAAAGAGGAGAGCTCTGGGCTGCACCTCTCTCCGATGAGACGCTAATATAAACTCATTACTTATAATTAATGAGCAGAATCCAAACAGCTCGCAGCCTACGGTGGATCAATGCACGGCCGGGACACAGCCTCACAGTCCACAACAGAATACCACAGTCATTAAATATAAACATCCTCTTACAGACCCACTGTCCGGCTCTAACTCACTAATGGGCATTTCACCCTGGCTCCTGCGGGCGCCAGTCTGTGGAGACCTTTCTCTTATTCTACAGCTTCTATTTGACTCTCACCTCTTAAAGGAAACACCACACACCGGGTTTGTTCAAGACATTTCAACAATCAGCCCCGATGCAGCAATAGCAGTGATACTAGAACACATTTGACTTGACTCACACTGAATATTTACCACATACACTGCAAAAAGTGATGAAAAACAAGTCAAACATTCAGTAAAATCACTTTAAAAAGCAAAATTTGACTGAGATTAAAACTAGATTTGCCAATGGGACAAAGCAAAATGAGCGTGTTTTAAAAAGATACAAGAAAAGTCTCCCTTGGAATGAGAAAATAAAGCAACAGTTCTAGAAATAATAATAATGATAATAATGGCATGGTCCCATCAGCAAATCTTGTTTTAAGACTGTACTGTATCAGAATGTACTAAAATTAAGACCAAAACAACTCGATTCAAGCTGTTTTCACCTCATATTTGATCATTTTTTGCAGCGTGAACCTGAGTTAGACTAAAACAATACAAAAAACCTTTAAAGCAGGCGCCAGGTTTGTCTCATTTGGAATCAAAGAGAATAGGTCAGTGCAGAAGTCTGAGAGCTCCCTTTGCATAAAATACTCATCTCCTTGTACTGCACGTCCTACTTCACACAAACACAACAGTGATCGCAGCAGTGGTCGCAGCAGTGATCGCAGCAGTGATCGCAGCAGTGATCGCAGCAGTGGTCGCAGCAGTGATCGCAGCAGTGATCGCAGCAGTGGTCGTAGCAGTGATCGCTGCAGCAGTGATGGCAACAGTGGTCGCAGCAGTGATCGCAGCAGTGATCGCAGCAGTGGTCGCAGCAGTGATCGCAGCAGTGATCGCAGCAGTGGTCGTAGCAGTGATCGCAGCAGTGGTCGTAGCAGTGATCGCAGCAGTGATCGCAGCAGCAGTGATGGCAACAGTGGTCGCGGTCGCAGCAGTGGTTGCAGCAGCAGGGGTCGCAGCAGTGGTTGCGGTCGCAACAGTGATCGCAACAGTGATCGCAACAGTGGTTGCAGCAGTGGTTGCAATAGTGGTCGCGCTCGCAGCAGTGATTGCAGCAGTGGTCGTAGCAGTGATTGCAGCAGTGGTCGCGGTCGCAGCGGTGTTCGCAGCAGTGATTGCAGCAGTGGTCGTAGCGGTGTTCGCAGCAGTGATCGCAGCAGTGGTCGCAGCAGCAGTGATTGCAGCAGTGATGGCAGCAATGGTCGCGGTCGCAGCGGTGGTCGCAGCAGGGATGGCAGCAGTGGTCGCGGTCGCAGCGGTGGTCGCAGCAGGGATGGCAGCAGTGGTCGCAGCAGCAATCGCAGCAGTGGTTGCAGCAGTGGTCGTAGCAGTGATTGCAGCAGTGATCGCAGCAGCAGTGGTCGCAGCAGTGGTAGCAATAGTGGTCGCGGTCGCAGCAGTGATTGCAGCAGTGATTGCAGCAGTGATTGCAGCAGTGGTTGTAGCAGTGATCGCAGCAGTGGTTGCAGCAGTGGTCACAGCAGCAGTGGTCGCAGCAGTGGTCGCAGCAGTGGTCGTAGCAGTGATCGCAGCAGTGGTCGTAGCAGTGATCGCAGCAGTGATCGCAGCAGCAGTGATGGCAACAGTGGTCGCGGTCGCAGCAGTGGTTGCAGCAGCAGGGGTCGCAGCAGTGGTTGCGGTCGCAACAGTGATCGCAACAGTGATCGCAACAGTGGTTGCAGCAGTGGTTGCAATAGTGGTCGCGCTCGCAGCAGTGATTGCAGCAGTGGTCGTAGCAGTGATTGCAGCAGTGGTCGCGGTCGCAGCGGTGTTCGCAGCAGTGATTGCAGCAGTGGTCGTAGCGGTGTTCGCAGCAGTGATCGCAGCAGTGGTCGCAGCAGCAGTGATTGCAGCAGTGATGGCAGCAATGGTCGCGGTCGCAGCGGTGGTCGCAGCAGGGATGGCAGCAGTGGTCGCGGTCGCAGCGGTGGTCGCAGCAGGGATGGCAGCAGTGGTCGCAGCAGCAATCGCAGCAGTGGTTGCAGCAGTGGTCGTAGCAGTGATTGCAGCAGTGATCGCAGCAGCAGTGGTCGCAGCAGTGGTAGCAATAGTGGTCGCGGTCGCAGCAGTGATTGCAGCAGTGATTGCAGCAGTGATTGCAGCAGTGGTTGTAGCAGTGATCGCAGCAGTGGTTGCAGCAGTGGTCACAGCAGCAGTGGTCGCAGCAGTGGTCGCAGCAGCAGTGGTCGCAGCAGCAGTGGTCGCAGCAGCAGTGATGGCAGCAGTGGTCGCAGCAGCAGTGGTCGCAGCAGTGATGGCAGCAGTGGTTGCAGCAGTGGTCGCAGCAGTGGTCGCAGCAGTGGATACCTGCGTCCGCTGAAGCCCGCGGCGCACTGGCACTGGCCGCTCACGTGGTCGCACACGCCTCCGTTACGGCACGAACAGTCCTTGCTGCAGTTAATGCCGTATTTGCCGATGGGACACGGCTGGGCACAGACGGAACCCTGGGACACAGAGAGAGGTGACACAGACAGAGGGACAGAGAGAGGGACAGAGAAAGAGGTGACACAGACAGAGGGGACACACATAGAGGTGACACACAGACATAGACAGAGGGGACACAGATAGAGGTGACACACAGACACAGACAGAGGGGACACAGATAGAGGTGACACACAGACACAGACAGAGGGGACACAGATAGAGGTGACACACAGACACAGACAGAGGGGACGCATATAGAGGTGACACACAGACATGGACAGAGGGGACACAGATAGGTGACACACAGACACAGACAGAGAGGACACAGATAGAGGTGACACACAGACACAGACAGAGGGGACACAGATAGAGGTGACACACAGACACAGACAGAGGGGACACAGATAGAGGTGACACACAGACACAGACAGAGGGGACACAGATAGAGGTGACACACAGACACAGACAGAGGGACAAAGAAGAGGCGACATGAAAATATTTCAATGATTAGCTTCTTTGGGTTCTTCTTTTGCCGTAACCTTTTGAACTGTAAATTAATCGCTAATTTCTTGCCGCAGTGTGGCTTGTGTGCGTCTGTGTGTGTCTGTCTGTATGTGTGTGTGTTAGTGTCTGTATTTGTTTGTGTGTCTGTATGTATGTGTGTGTCTGTGTGTGAGTCTGTATCTGTACAGTATGTGTCTGTGTGTGTATGAGTCTGTATGTGTCTGTGTGCGTATGTATTTGTGTGTGTATGTGTCTGTGTGTGTCTGTGTGCGTATGTATTTGTGTGTGTATGTGTCTGTATGTGTCTGTGTGCGTATGTGTTTGTGTGTGTATGTGTCTGTGTGCGTATGTGTTTGTGTGTATGTGTCTGTGTGTGTGTCTCTGTATGAGTCTCTTTGTGTGTGTGAGTCTGTATGTGTGTGCGTGTGTGTTTACCGTCCAGCCGGCGGGACAGGAGCAGTCTCCGGTGATGTGGTGGCAGGTCCCTCCGTTCTGACAGGGGCAGCGGCGCTCACACTGAGGGCCGTGACTCCCAGAGGGGCAGCGCTCTCCACAGCTGTAACACACACACACACACACACACACACCAAAACACACACACACACACACACACAATCAGACCAACAAAGCAACCCACACACTCTCCTCAATCTAAACTACAGTTGTCATTAGCTATTACACACATTACACAGGTTTCTTATGTGTCTGTGGCGGATCCTCAAACATAATAATCATAATAAACAATAATATAACCTGGACGCCTCCCTGGGGAGGTGTTCCGGGGCCCCGGGGAAGACCCAGGACACGCTGAAGGGACTGTGTCTCTCAGCTGGCCTGGGAACACCTTGGGGTCCCCCCGGACGAGCTGGAGGAAGTGTGTGTGGATCGGGAAGTCTGGGCGTCTCTGCTTAGACTGCTGCCCCCGCGACCCGGCAACGGATGAAGTGGAAGAAAATGGATGGATGGATGGAATATAACATAACCTATCAATATTTATTATACAGAAACAATGAAATGACTAATTGTTGTAGCGCGACAAGTTTTTTCAACCCTGAAGTAGGCGAAGATACAGACCTGGTAGATAGTTACACCATTGTCCTGCAAAAACACTTCTGAATCTTCACTGCTAAAAATTATATAATATTAGGTAATTAATGCTTGAATCTAGTGTACGTGTCCAGGGTACGTCACGTCCTGTCCTACGTTTGTTATTTGCGCCACTGCTTTGACGTCATATGAAACCCAAGAATGAAATACTAATTAAAAACTATCTCTATCTAGCCACAGACACAAATAGTTGAATTCTCCCACAAACACAGGCGTGTACTCACAAAGCCCCCGTGTATCCGGGCGTACACAGACACTCGCCGGTCTCGTGGTTGCAGGTGGCGGCGTTCAGGCACTGGCAGATGAGCTGGCAGCCTTTGCCGTAGTATCCGTGCTCACACTGCTCCTCACAGCGCCACCCCTGGTAGCCCTCGGTACACATGCAGGCGCCCGTGATGGGGTTACAGCGCCCGCCGTTCTGACACTGGCAACGGTTTGTGCAGTGAGGTCCCCAGAAGTCCGCCTCACAACCTGCAACAGATATAGACACACACACACACAGAGAGAAAGAGAGATACACACACACAGACACACACAGAGACAGGGAGGTTACAAACAAATGTGGCTTACCCTTGAAAACATCTAAAACCATTTGTCAGGTCACAGGGATCATTAACAGTTTACGCCCACAGATATTAATTCTCCAAAAACATTATTCACAGCAGCCTCAGTGTCACACACACACACGCACACACACACACACACACACACACACACACACACACACACACACACACACACACACACACACACACACACACACACACACACACGCACACGCACACGCACACGCACGCGCACGCACACGCACACGCACACGCACGCACACGCACGCACACACACACACACACACACACACACCAGTATAGATCATATCAGGTTCAGGAAGGACACCTCCCACGTCACACTGCGGCTTCGCCCTCTCCACTTTTTGAACTAAACTCTCTGGTCTTATTGGACGAGCACGTATCAGCAGAATGATTGACAGTTGGGAGGACCAATAGTCTTGATGATCCACCCGGAAGTAGAAAATCCTCCTGTATACGTCTAAAGGCCTTTTATGTAATTTGTGCCATAGTGATTTATGAATTTGAGCAAACCAAATCTCCTGCTTTGCACCAGACAGAGATCACACAGAGAACACACACACAGAGAGAACACACACACACAGAGAACATACACACACACACACACACACAGAACACATACACACACACCGAGAACACACAGAGAGACACATGCTCAGATCCATAAGACAAGATTGTAACTTAACTACTACTAATGCAACCGTTTTATACAGAACTTTCTGGACACTCAAAGACGCTTCACACGTCATCATAAATTACTATGGTAGCCACAGCTGCCCTGGGGCACACTGACAGAAGCGAGGCAACCAGTCTGTGCCATCGGTCTCTCCAATCCCCACCACTAATCATTCACACGCACACCAGATTCATACTCAGCTAAGTGTCTTATAAGGACACCCTCACAGCACTAACCAGGCCCTTCCCTGCTTAGCTTCTGGGGTCTGAAAGGAACTGGCTTTCACCTGCAGGTGGCGCCACACAACATACAATACTATAAAATAAATGTGAAGAAGCCAGTTCAATTTTAGCCTCACAATTGTAATGTACTGTCAAAGAACTCTCCAGACTCCTTAATATACACACACAAACCCATACGTATATACGGACAGACACACACTCACACACACACACACACACACACACACACACACACACACACACACACACACACACACACACACACACACACAGATAGACACACACACAGACACACACACACACACACACACACACACACACACAGAACATCTAAATTGGGGGCCAGACCAGGACCCTCACCCCTATTTCACCAAAACAAATATAATGCAGAGATTTATCCACAAAAAAACACATTTATTTATTTCATTCGGCGCCAACCGAGGATTCAGGACCGAGCTCTACATCGTTTCTCAATATTTCTTTCAGTTTTAGTTTGATTAAGTTGCTCTGGAGGTGAGCAAAACAATGCATCAGAGCAGCTGTGTTCATTGTACAGTCTGACAGCAGCAGGAAGGAAAGCCCTCCTCCACACGAAAAAGACAGAGCAACGAAGCGTCTGTGACTAAAATGATTCTCAAAGATAAACATTTCTCACATTCAGGACCCAGAGATTTCTTTTTCTTGCACTTCTGTCACGAACGATGCAAAGATTTCCGATACAAGAACATCCTGTTTTGTTAACGCGACACATTTTATCTGAATAACAAACGTGTGTCCGTAGCACACTCCCATCATAGCTCCATGTTAGACTCCTTCGGGTGATTAAGTGCAGTATTGAACGTGGAAAGTGCAGTTTGGGCGTAATGGGGCAGGTCTGATGAGTCCGCCATCCCTCAGCGGAGGTCCCTGCCGTGTTGTACTATCGACAATCAGGGAAATTGGCCGGTTATAGGCGCTTTAAGGAGCTGAAATAAATAGTTCAGTGACATTAGCAAGTGGTACTTGAGGGTAACTTATAAAACAGGCAATTCTCACTGTTCGCTCAGGAACGTGTGGTTAGAACAACTCGATATGTCCCATAAAGTGCCAGCAAATAGGTAATCCTCAAGGTTAAAGGAACGGCGGCTTTTATGTGGCAGAACAATCAGAGCGAACGCCGAGACTTTGCTCTCGCTGCGGTAATTGTTCGTCAGAAGAAGAGGCTGATTTAAGTGATTGCGCACTACTCCATCAGCTGCAAGCAGAGAGGCTCACGCTCATGCACGGCTGCGGGTACACAATACTCTCCCATCGATCCTTCAGGACTCACTGGGACACATGGACTCACTGGGTTTGAGATGGGAGGGAGACAGAGAGAGAGAGACAGACTGAAAGAGAGAGCGAGATAGAGAGGTATAGGGAGAGAGGGACAGAGAGAGAGACAGAGAGGTCAGAGAGAGACCAAAAAGAGGCCAGAGAGAGAAACCAGAGAGAGACCAGAGAGAGGCCAGTAAGAGACCAGAGAGAGACCAGAGAGAGACCATAGAGAGACCATAGAGAGACCAGAGAGAGACCAGAGAGAGACCAGAGAGAGACCAGAGAGAGACAGAGAGAGAACAGAAGGAGACCAGAGAGAGACCAGAGAGAGACCAGAGAGAGACCAGAGAGAGACAGAGAGAGACTAGAGAGAGACCAGAGAGAGAACAGAAGGAGACCAGAGAGAGACAGAGAGAGACTAGAGAGAGACCAGAGAGAGAACAGAAGGAGACCAGAGAGAGACCAGAGAGAGAACAGAAGGAGACCAGAGAGAGACAGCGATAAAGAGGTCAGAGAGAGACCAAAGAGAGGCTGATGAGGCTGCTCCCAGGCTTGGCTTTTCCAGGTACACAGCAGGGGGTGATCAGGCAGCCCACACCACACACACACACACGCACAACCTACCCTTACACAACCCACTTATACACACACACACACACACAGGCCGTGAGTGTGGCTGACCAGGAGATAGAACAGATCACACATTGATTAGTGTAATGCACTGACTCTGGTCTGGCATGAACCGGTCCCAGAGGAGCCTTGGCCTCGAAGACGGCTGCAGACATTAGAGCGAGGTGTGGGTCTAATGAACAACCAATCACTTCAGCCTCGGATCCAGGTTCAAGCCTCAGATCCAGGTCTCAGTGCGAGGTCTCAGAACGAGGTCTCAGTGTGAGGTCTCAGCTGGACTCTGCACAAACACAGGTCAGCCTCCTGCAGGACCTCAGCTGCAGCCGGAGAGAGAGAGAGAGAGAGAGCATTTCCGAACATCTAAAAGTGACGTAGAAACAACAGCAGCAGGATCCAGCTGTGAGTTCTCAAAGCTGAGCGGCTCAACATTGTTCTAAAGTTTAAAGTCTGTGGTTGGCAGTGAGAGCGAGAGAGCACACGGAGCACACGGAGCAAAGCCCATTATCCTCCGTCTCTCTCCACTCACTGCTCAAACTGCAGCCTCTCGCTCTGGCAGCGTTTTACTGTGATTAAGGAGGAGTTCATGATGAGCTGAAACTAACAGCACAGACCCAGACCTGCACAGACTCAGACCTGCACAGACTCAGACCTGCACAGACTCAGACCTGCACAGACTCAGACCTGCACAGACACAGACCTGCACAGACACAGACCTGCACAGACTCAGACCTGCACAGACACAGACCTGCACAGACTCAGACCTGCACAGACTCAGACCTGCACAGACTCAGACCTGCACAGACACAGACCTGCACAGACTCAGACCTGCACAGACACAGACCTGCACAGACACAGACCTGCACAGACTCAGACCTGCACAGACTCAGACCTGCACAGACTCAAACCTGCACAGACTCAGACCTGCACAGACTCAGACCTGCACAGACTCAGACCTGCACAGACACAGACCTGCACAGACTCAAACCTGCACAGACTCAGACCTGCACAGACTCAGACCTGCACAGACTCAGACCTGCACAGACTCAGACCTGCACAGACACAGACCTGCACAGACTCAGACCTGCACAGACTCAGACCTGCACAGACTCAGACCTGCACAGACTCAGACCTGCACAGACACAGACCTGCACAGACTCAGACCTGCACAGACTCAGACCTGCACAGACTCAGACCTGCACAGACTCAGACCTGCACAGACTCAGACCTGCACAGACACAGACCTGCACAGACTCAGACCTGCACAGACTCAGACCTGCACAGACACAGACCTGCACAGACACAGACCTGCACAGACTCAGACCTGCACAGACTCAGACCTGCACAGACTCAGACCTGCACAGACTCAGACCTGCACAGACACAGACCTGCACAGACTCAGACCTGCACAGACTCAGACCTGCACAGACACAGACCTGCACAGACTCAGACCTGCACAGACTCAGACCTGCACAGACTCAGACCTGCACAGACTCAGACCTGCACAGACTCAGACCTGCACAGACACAGACCTGCACAGACTCAGACCTGCACAGACTCAGACCTGCACAGACACAGACCTGCACAGACACAGACCTGCACAGACACAGACCTGCACAGACTCAGACCTGCACAGACTCAGACCTGCACAGACTCAGACCTGCACAGACTCAGACCTGCACAGACACAGACCTGCACAGACTCAGACCTGCACAGACTCAGACCTGCACAGACTCAGACCTGCACAGACTCAGACCTGCACAGACTCAGACCTGCACAGACACAGACCTGCACAGACCCAGACCTGCACAGACTCAGACCTGCACAGACCCAGACCTGCACAGACTCAGACCTGCACAGACTCAGACCTGCACAGACTCAGACCTGCACAGACCCAGACCTGCACAGACTCAAACCTGCACAGACTCAGACCTGCACAGAGAAGAGGACCTCAGGGACTCAGACCTGGTACAGAGGGGACCTGCACGTGACTCTTTGATTACTTGACAAAAGATATTCAAAAGATATGTTGATTAGTATAAGTATGATTAACTGAAAAGCCGGTCTCACAATAGCTGTATAGTATTCAATTCAATTCAATTCAATCCAAATAACTTTATTTATCTGTGAGGACGCCGTGAGCACACACAGCACCAGTGGGGGTCCAGAAAAACACAGAAACACAATATCAATACAAGTAAAAGTGCAGAAATATAACATAAAACACACAAAACAGATCTGCCAATCAGCTGTTCAAAAGGAGGGAGCTGGCCCTTTAAGAGTAGAGGCTAATCTCCTGCAGATGCTGTGATCCACTGATATTTCAGATTCATTTAATTATATTGATAATTAAACATGGCGTAACAATGTGGCGGAGGTTATTGGAGGTAAATGAATTCAGAATAAGATTAAGAAGCAAAACGTCAATTAGACAGATGTAAAAATGTAATTATGACGTCAGAAGAAACATGTTGGTTTAGGAGATGACCAGATGGACTATAAACGTCACACCAGGGAAAGTGAAATCAAGTTTAAAAAAAGCCATGAAACCACAGAGAAGTCAAAGAAGTGTCTGAGACTGAAGCGTGATTCTCAGAGATCGCACACATTCAGGACGCACACTTTTGTCACGAACGATGCAAAGATTTACGATACAAGAACATGTTAGTTGAATAGAAAATGTCCCATCAATGTCTGTCTGTGTGTGTGTGTGTGTGTGTGTCTGTGTGTGTGTGTGTGAGAGTCTGTATGTGTGTCTGAGTCTGTGTGTGTATCTGTGTGTGTCTGAATGTGTATGTGTGTGTCTGTCTGTGTGTGTGTTTGTGTGTCTGTGTGTGTGTGAGAGTCTGCATGTGTGTCTGAGTGTGTGTCTGTCTGAATGTGTGTGTGTGTGTGTGAGAGTCTGTATGTGTGTCTGTCTGAATGTGTGTGTGTGAGTCTGTATGTGTGTCTGAGTCTGTGTGTGTGTGTGTACGTGTGTATCTGTGTGTGTGTATGTGTGTGTGTCTGAATGTGTATGTGTGTGTCTATCTGAATGTTTATGTGTGTGTGTATGTCTATCTGTGTGTGTGTGTGTGTGTCTGTCTGAATGTATACTGTACGTGTGTCTGTCTGTCTTTGTGAATGTGTGTGTGTCTATCTGAATGTGTGTGTCTGTGTGTGTATGTCTATCTGTGTGTGTGTGTGTCTATCTGAATGTGTGTGTGCGTCTATCTGAATGTGTGTGTGTGTGTGTCCTGTACCTTTGAGTTCTTGAAAAGCACAATATAAAACAAACCCATGTGTTGTTTTTGAGTCACATTTACTTAAAGCTTGAAACGGAAACTTCTTCATTTGGTTTTAGACACTTTTTACCACCAAAAAACATCTCAACCATTTTGTAGAGCGCGATAATTAAACTAGGGGTAAAAAAATATAATATATTAGTGCTCCTATGTCTTAGAAAATCAAGGAACATTAAAGGGTTATTGTCATTATTAATAAAAACAACTGGAGGAATTCTAACTCTTACTGAAAAACGTAAACAAAGCGTTTCACTCTGGATCAGAACAAAGAAAATGGTTCCAACCCATCGGCTGCTCCACCTCTGCTGCTGTGACCTTTTTACTATTGTGGCTACTTTTAGATTGATGTATTTATTAGTTTTGTTTGTTTGGATGTGTTTCTGCTGCGACTGGACTCTGTATTTCAGGGATCAATAAAGTATCTGTCTAAGTGCAGTCAGAGCTGGTAAAGAGAGCGCCTCAGGGACTCAGGGGGGGACCTCAGACCCCACACCCAGCTCCTGTCGGGGTCGGGTCGCCTGGTCCTTCACCCGCTGAGACCCTCTGAGACCCGCAGCTCCAGCACATAACCAGAGAGCAGTGGATAAACGCACACACGAGGGGCAGGCTAATCCTCAGTGGAACAAACAGAGCAGGAGCCAAACTTCTGCAGGTGACGTCCGGAGAATGGCCCGAGCAGCAGCTTTGAAGTCCCTCAGATTAAACCCGAGAGCTCTGAGCAGCTGGCGTCACGCTCAACTTCTCCTGGAGTCCAACCCAGTTTCTTCCCCGTCTCTGGAAAGGGCTGCTTCGCTGAGAGCCGCCATAAGCTTCTCTCAAAGCTAAAGTCAAAAAACTATGGCCTGAGACAATCTCTCTCTCTCAATTTCCCTGTTTATTCAGCGCAGAGACAGATTCGCAGAGAGGCAGGACTTGACGTCAATAAAAATGATCCAGGGGTTTTTGCTGCAGGAGGGGAAGGTGCCAGCTCTTAACTGGGACCTGTGTTATTGTTAGTGGAGGCGCTGGCAGCCGGCCCATCGCCATCGCCACGGACTCTGACAGTCACATAACTATTATTAACACACTGTTGACAGGGAAGAATCTCCAGCACAACACTCTGCTCACGTGATGCTGATCCTGGAGCAGCAGATCAGGACCAAGACGACGGCAGGAGCTGGAATTCAAGCTTTAAATCTGAAGCTAAAGAACCTGCATCTGCTGAGTCCCTCCCACGAAGGGCAGCCAACATGAGAACAGAAAAATCAGGGACAGCATTTTGGTAGATCGGGTTGAGCACTTTTTAGTTCTGATTTCAATCTACACAGGAATCATTGAATTTCATAATTAGTTTTTAGAATGTAATTTATTCACTACATATAAAAAATATAAAAACAGTAGAAAATAAATGCGCACAGCTATGTAGCTCCCAATCAGTGTATTTTATTTACACATGCCCAAAAAAATAATAACAATTGTAAACCGCTTTGTGACCCTTGTCTGTGAAAGGCGGTATATAAATAAACATTACTTACTTACTTACTTACACCAAACTGTAACGTTTCGGGCCTTTCGTCAGACATTAAATCCTTAGTGAAATTAAATAAACAGGTGGAACTCTTTGGCTGGTTAAGGACTCAACACATGCTTATTAGTCATTAAAAAAGTGACAAATACACTTAATAACATGCATTATTTATGTATGTTACAGTAAAGACCATTAACTACGAAAGCAATTTAAAAAAGAAAACATATGTATTCATTTTAAATATGTTTTAAAAAGTATCTGAGACTTTTGTGCGTGTTGGGAACCCTTCTCCCACGGCTTTGTACAAACCTCGTCCGTCACATTTTCTATTCGCAGTTTTTATTACTGCTTGTGATTGTTAGAATAGAATGTTAATAATGAGGCTTGAATCTGCAAGGCAAGATTAATTGTATAGCACAGTTTAAACTTAGCTTGTTTGCACTGAGAGCCAAAGCACTTTTCTAGTTTGAGACTTCCTTAAAGTGCTAAACTTATGCCACATTAGGGTCGATATGAAGCGCTGCAGTGACACAGAAAAACAACTCCAAGCAGTCAAGTTAGAAAATAAACAAAAATCAGCTGGAATTTTTTTTGATTTAGGGCAAATTTTCACCAGAGAAAAGTTCAAAACAAGAAGAGAAACATCCCACAGTCACAATTAAACCACGTATTAAAATTGTGTTATTACTTTGACATTTCTGATCTGATTTTAAAATTTTACCGCTAAATCAAATCCTTTTATTTGACTTTACCCCAGACATGATTTTCAGATAAAATTCTATTTGTCACCGGAAAATTCAGTTTAGACGTTTGCTGTCACTGCTCGCCCACTCAAAATAAGACTCAATGTTTTGTTTCTTGTTTTATTTCACTTTAACAGATTGTGTTGGAAGGAAGAGGGTCTCGTTTAGCCTGGCAGAAAAATATTATCTTTTAGAGTTTGATTGTTATTATTTAACACATTCAAACCCATTTAAGTCATTCTCCATTTTACTTTCACAGAATATACAGGATTTTATACTAGCTTCTTTATTATGCTAAAGCTAGAGATTTTATACTAGCTTCTTTATTATGCTAAAGCTAGAGATTTTATACTAGCTTCTTTATTATGCTAAAGCGAGAGATTTTATGCTAGCTTCTTTATTATGCTAAAGCTAGAGTTTTTATTCTTGCTTCTTTATTATGCTAACGCTAAAGCTACTTCTAACTATTCTTTCTCTGTTTATTCTAATAGAGGTTGACATTTGCCTTTTGCGGCTGACGCACACTTATTATTATCTTTACCTTTCGTGGGTAGATTTCCGTCGCCTTCAAAAACAGTCCGTGAACAAGTTTCCAAACCACTTTTCCCACATTCTTCATGGTTGATTTCTCTTAAACTTCTGGAGCAGGTCTGAAAACTGTCTGAGTCTTTTCTCTCTCTCTCCAGCGGCGGCTTTGTTCCTCTTCGTGACAGATCTGAACTTTTAAATTGCACTTTAAACTGAGAATTAACACCAGCACCATTAGCAAATGCGGTTATTATTCTGGGCTTTTGTATCGACGTTAAACGATAAAATGGTAGTTCTGGTCGTGTCTTTCTGAAAGGAACAAAGCCACTGATATGTCGTGCTGACGGGAGAATATGTAATGCCTGCAGTTTGTGAAGACTTATTCAATAATAGTCCACTCAGAATGTAGCTTTCATTGGAGCTAGCATGCGGCGGGTAGAAAGAGACCTGCTGAGGCAGGAAAAAAGACAGAGGGACGCGGACCGCTTTACAGTGTTCCAGGACACGGCACATTCAACAACAGTTATGGACAATTATCAACGTTTACATTACTCTGTGGACACCAGGGACCAGGTTCTGTCCTCGGCCCTTAGTCCAAAGTCCAAAGTCCAAAGTCCAAAGTCCTAAGTCCTTAGTACTCTGTCCTCAGTCCGCAGTAAGTCCAAAGTCCCCAATCCTCAGTCCTTAGTCCTGTCCTCTGTTCTCCCACCTTAGTCCAGTCCACAGTCACAGTCCTCAGTCCAGTCCAGTCCTCAGCCCAGTCCTCCATCCTCAATCCATTCCTCACTCCTGTCCCTTAGTCCAGTCCAGTCCTCCGTCCTCAGTCCAGTCCTCCGTCCTCAGTTCAGTCCAGTCCTCAGTCCAGACCTCAGTCCAGTCCTCCGTCCTCAGTCCAGTCCTCCGTCCTCAGTCCAGTCCAGTCCTCAGTCCAGTCCTCCGTCCTCAGTCCAGTCCTCCGTCCTCAGTCCAGTCCAGTCCTCAGTCCAGACCTCAGTCCAGTCCAACCAAATCTCCACATTCTTCCTGTTTATTAATGCTCTCCTCAGCCGGCCGTGACAAACACACGATTTAACCACGGAACATCCTCCTGAGTTTGACAAATGGATTTCTAAATATACACAAGGAAATGCCAATAGTGGTGAGAGCAGGAGAAAAGGGGAGAAAGGGAGAGCGAGAGAGAGAGAGAGGAGAGCTGGGACTAATTCATCTCCGTGAGCTCTGGTCCTCAGGGAGAGAGAGGGACTGGACACAGGGACATGGGACTCAGGGAGAGGGGGGAGGGAGGGTGAGAGAGCAGAAGAGGGAAGGAGAGAGTGGGAGAAAGCAAGAGAGATAACGTGATAGAGAGAGAGAGACTGTGTCCAGTCTGAGGAGAGCACAGACTGGACACATAGAGCAAGAGGAGAGAGAGAGCGAGAGAAACTGGACACGAGAGAGAGAGAGACTCAAGTAAATCCGCCACTGCCCCCTCTGCTCAGTGCAGACCTCCTCAGCAGAAGAATGTTTTCCTCAGAAGTATTTATATATAAAAGAAACCAGCCTCAGACACAAGCATCGTTCTCACTCACGAGATCAACAAGACCAACGAGATCAACGGGACCAACAAGACCAACGAGATCAACGAGACCAACAAGACCAACAAGATCAACGAGATCAACGAGATCAACAAGACCAACGAGATCAACGGGACCAACAAGACCAACGAGATCAACGGGACCAACAAGACCAACGAGACCAACGAGATCAACGGGACCAACAAGACCAACGAGATCAACGAGATCAACAAGACCAAAGAGAACAACAAGACCAACGAGATCAACAAGACCAACGAGATCAACAAGACCAACGAGATCAACAAGACCAACGAGATCAACAAGACCAACGAGATCAACAAGACCAACGAGATCAACGAGATCAACAAGACCAACGAGATCAACAAGACCAACGAGATCAACAAGACCAACGAGATCAACAAGACCAACGAGATCAACGAGATCAACGGGACCAACAAGACCAACGAGACCAACGGGACCAACGGGACCAACGAGACCAACAAGACCAACGAGATCAACGAGATCAACAAGACCCACGAGATCAACAAGACCAACGAGATCAACAAGACCAACAAGACCAACGAGACCAACAAGACCAACGAGACCAACGGGACCAACGAGACCAACGAGATCAACAAGACCAACGAGATCAACAAGACCAACGAGATCAACAAGACCAACGAGATCAACGAGATCAACGGGACCAACAAGACCAACGAGACCAACAAGATCAACGGGACCAACAAGACCAACAAGACCAACAAGATCAATGAGACCAACAAGACCATCGAGACCAACGATATCAAAGGGACCAATGAGACCAACAGTACCAACGGGTCCAACGAGACAAACAATATCAACGAGACCAACGAGACCATCAAGACCAATGAGACCAGACTTAGAACAGGCTTGTCAGACATTGTCGAAGCTAAACTCACACGCTACAGCTTTGGGGATTTGTTAAAGAGAATCCTGGTAAAATACTAGTTTTTCTGACTCACTAAGTCCCGAGTCTCTTTGAAGCTTTTGAATGAAGTAGATTTGTACAAAAGACATTCATCAAAACCTAAATCCTCCACAATGTTAATAGTTTTATCAGTTCGAGGCTGTCATCCTTCATCACTGAAGTGTAAATTAAACTGGAAAATTGGATTTCTTATCTGCAATATCCAATATCCTGTCAGCTGACCAATCACAGCCTGATGTAGGAAGGTCAAGGTTCTTCTACATCACACACTCTAACTAACAAATGCCCGTCCTGCTTGGGAATCGAACCCACACCTTCTCACTGTGAGAGCTGAGTGCTAACCTTTCTACACACTGTAAAAAGTCATGAAAAATAAGTCATAAATTGCTAAACTATAAAAAATTAATGATTGGATTAGTACCAACGATTCGTACAAGTCTTATTTTAAGCACATTCTGACTTTAAACAACATTTTCCAAAGGGGCAAACGCAAAATTATCTTGTTTTAAAAAGATACAAGACAAGTCAGAACACTCATGAACACTATCGTAGCCACAGCTGCCCTGGGGCACACTGACAGAAGCGAGGCAACCAGTCTGTGCCATCGGCCCCTCCCACCACCACCAACCATCCACACACACACCAGACTCATTCTAATGTGGGGGAAGTGTCTTGCCTAAGGACACAACCACAGTTTGGCACTTTACAGCCGCAGCCGCCCCACTGTGGCACCTGCTGTTCCCAGAGGTCTCCCATCACAGCACTAACCAGGCCTTGCCCTGCTCAGCTTCAGAGGTCTGGCTTTCACCTGCAGGTAAAGATTGAAAGACTTGTTTGACACGAGAGACCTTGAAACAAAACCGCTGCAAAATAGTTTCAAACTGGCAGAAAATATGACAACAAACTAAACTTGAACTTAGAAGCGTAGCTAACCACATTGAAGTAATTCCCTGAGAAGCATGGCTAATCACAACACGTTTTTGTGCTGAGTCGCCATCCGCAAAGAAACAGTTCATTTTGAAATGTCAAAAGTACAGATTTTTGGGCTTGAAAGTAGAAATCAGGTAAATACAGATACCAAGAACAAATTATGAAAATACTGAAATAAAAATACTTAGTTACTTGCTTTCTCTGTTCCTCAGTTTGTCAATCTCTAAATACACTGCTATCATTAAGTTTATTTATTATTAGGAATGCACCAATACCCAGAGGTGTGGACTCGAGTCATGTGACTTGGACTCGAGTCAGACTCGAGTCATGATTTTGATGACTTTAGACTCGACTTGACCAAATATAAAAAGACTTGCAACTCGACTTGGACTTTAACATCAATGACTCTGACTTTCACTTGGACTTGCGCCAATTGACTTGCAAAGACTTGCGTAACCCGGACCAATTTTACCTTTCTCCGCATCTCTCTTTCTATCTATGCCGTCTCTGAAGAAACAAAGCCTCGCGGTACTCTCTTCGTTCTCTCTCCGGTCTCTCTCCGGTCTCTCCCCGGTCTCTCTCTGGTCTCCCTCCGATCTCCCTCCGGTCTCTCTCTGGTCTCTCTCTGGTCTCTCTCTCTGGTCTCTCTCTCTGGTGTCTCTCTCTGGTCTCTCTCTGGTCTCTCTCTGGTCTCTCTCCGGTCTCTCTACGGTCTCACTCTAGTCTCTCTCTAGTCTCTCTCTGGTCTCTCTCCGGTCTCTTTCCCTGGTCTCTCTCCGGTCTCTCTCCGGTCTCTCTTCGGTCTCTCTCCGGTCTCTCTTCGGTCTCTCTCCGGTCTCTCTTCGGTCTCCCTCCGGTCTCCCTCCGGTCTCCCTCCGGTCTCCCTCCGTTCTCCCTCCGGTCTCTCTCTGGTCTCTCCCCAGTCTCTCTCTGGTCTCTCTCTCTGGTCTCTCTCTCTGGTCTCTCTCTGGTCTCTCTCTGGTCTCCCTCCGTTCTCCCTCCGGTCTCCCTCCGGTCTCCCTCCGTTCTCCCTCCGGTCTCTCTTACCTGAGAGGGAGTAGTCAGTGTTGGTCATGTGCATGGCCTGTGAGTAGGACACACTGGGCTGGATCTCTTGGCCTTTGTCTCTCTGTCTCTGTCGGTACCACACGAACAGACTGAGCATCGCCATGACGATGAGCAGGAGGAAGATGACGCCCATCACGGCGCCCGCGGACTGTCGCTCCGAGCTGCGAGCCGGACTGATCTTAGTGTACGGGTTCAGCTCCTCCATCATCAGAGCTGCTGCAACCAAAGCAAGTCTCAGTCAGAAGAAAGGACCCACAAACACACAACACACAACACACTGCAAAAAATGGTCCAATATGAGGTAATAATAACTGGTTTTTAACTTAGTCTGACACATTCTGCTTTATTTTCTCATTCCAAGGGACACATTTTTGTATCTTTATAAAGCAAGAACATTTTGCTTTGTCCCATTGGAGAATCTAGTTTTAAGGCTCAGTCACAATGTGTCAGATGAAGATAAAAACCACTTCATTCTTACCTCATATTTTATCATTTTTAACAGTGTTTATAACACGCAGCATTTGCAACGGTTGCTTCCAGTGTAGCGTGGACGTCATGTTTCCACAAGTCTGCCCCAAGACATCCCTGAGAAACATGTCTATTACAGCCGTCCGTCAGAGTAACAGACTGAGGAAGCAGAGAGACCAACGCTGGACTCAAGTTGAAAAACACTCGAGCCAGAATCTGATCATAAGTCACTGTGACGAGCTTTTACTAAAACATGTGGAATAATGAGTCTTAATAAACAAACAAGTCCATATTTAACCCGTCTCTATTTTAAAGTACATGAACAGTTGTGGTTGGTTTGCTTCCAAACTGCATCGTCTATCGCATTGTTCTGTGGTTCTGCTGCTGGACACCGGCATTTCTCCAACAGACACCAACGGACACCAAAAAGGTATTTATCTGTCTGTCCGTCTGGGTATCTATCTATATCTAATACAAACAAATTAACATTAACATTAGTAGTAACAGCAGCAGCAGCAGCAGCAGCAACAGCAGCAGCAGCAGTAGCAGTAGCAGCAGCAGCAGTAACAGCAGCAGCAGCAGTAGCAGTAGCAGTAGTAACAGCAGCAGCAGCAGTAGCAGTAACAGCAGCAGCAGCAGTAGCAGTAGCAGTAGTAACAGCAGCAGCAGCAGCAGTAGCAGTAGTAACAGCAGTAGCAGCAGCAGCAGCAGTAGCAGTAGCAGCAGTAGCAGCAGCGACAGTGACAGTGGGTAACACTGAAGATGAATGTCTGATATCCTTGTGTCCTTGTGAGTGAAGTCCATAGAAGCCTGTGTGAAGAGCAGTAGGATCACCTTGGTCACAGCGGATTCCTTTGTAGCCGGAGCTGCAGTAACAGGTCCCGGTCACGTAGTCGCAGGTGGCATTGTTCAGGCACTCACAGAGCTGCTGGCACCCAGAGCCAAAGGTCCCTGCTGGGCACTCTGTGGAGGAGTCACATGATCAACATCCAGTCACATAATCACCATGCAGTCACATGATCACCATGCAGTCACATGATCACCATGCAGTCACATGATCACCACCATGCAGTCACATGATCACCACCATGCAGTCACATGATCACCATCATGCAGTCACATGATCACCATGCAGTCACATGATCACCATCATGCAGTCACATGATCACCATGCAGTCACATGATCACCATGCAGTCACATGATCCCCATCATGCAGTCACATGATCACCATCATGCAGTCACATGATCACCATGCAGTCACATGATCCCCATCATGCAGTCACATGATCACCATCATGCAGTCACATGATCACCATGCAGTCACATGATCACCATGCAGTCACATGATCCCCATCATGCAGTCACATGATCCCCATCATGCAGTCACATGATCACCATGCAGTCACATGATCCCCATCATGCAGTCACATGATCACCATCATGCAGTCACATGATCACCATCATGCAGTCCCATGATCACCATGCAGTCACATGATCACCATCATGCAGTCACATGATTACCATCATGCAGTCACATGATCACCATGCAGTCACATGATCACCACCATGCAGTCCCATGATCACCATCATGCAGTCACATGATCACCATGCAGTCACATGATCACCATCATGCAGTCACATGATCACCATGCAGTCACATGATCACCATGCAGTCACATGATCACCATGCAGTCACATGATCCCCATCATGCAGTCACATGATCACCATCATGCAGTCACATGATCACCATGCAGTCACATGATCACCATGCAGTCACATGATCCCCATCATGCAGTCACATGATCACCATCATGCAGTCACATGATCACCATGCAGTCACATGATCACCATCATGCAGTCACATGATCACCATCATGCAGTCACATGATCACCATGCAGTCACATGATCCCCATCATGCAGTCACATGATTACCATCATGCAGTCACATGATCACCATGCAGTCACATGATCCCCATCATGCAGTCACATGATCACCATCATGCAGTCACATGATCACCATGCAGTCACATGATCACCATGTAGTCACATGATCACCATCATGCAGTCACATGATCACCATCATGCAGTCCCATGATCACCATGCAGTCACATGATCACCATCATGCAGTCACATGATCACCATCATGCAGTCACATGATCACCATCATGCAGTCACATGATCACCATGCAGTCACATGATCACCACCATGCAGTCACATGATCACCATCATGCAGTCACATGATCACCATGCAGTCACATGATCACCATGCAGTCACATGATCCCCATCATGCAGTCACATGATCACCATCATGCGGTCACATGATCACCATGCAGTCACATGATCACCATGCAGTCACATGATCCCCATCATGCAGTCACATGATCACCATCATGCAGTCACATGATCACCATGCAGTCACATGATCATCATCATGCAGTCACATGATCACCATCATGCAGTCACATGATCACCATCATGCAGTCCCATGATCACCATCATGCAGTCCCATGATCACCATGCAGTCACATGATCACCATCATGCAGTCCCATGATCACCATCATGCAGTCACATGATCACCATGCAGTCACATGATCACCATCATGCAGTCACATGATCACCATCATGCAGTCACATGATCACCATGCAGTCACATGATCACCATGCAGTCACATGATCACCATGCAGTCACATGATCCCCATCATGCAGTCACATGATCACCATCATGCAGTCCCATGATCACCATGCAGTCACATGATCACCATCATGCAGTCACATGATCACCATGCAGTCACATGATCCCCATCATGCAGTCACATGATCACCATCATGCAGTCACATGATCACCATGCAGTCACATGATCACCATGCAGTCACATGATCACCATCATGCAGTCACATGATCACCATGCAGTCATATGATCCCCATCATGCAGTCACATGATCACCATCATGCAGTCACATGATCACCATGCAGTCACATGATCCCCATCATGCAGTCACATGATCACCATCATGCAGTCACATGATCACCATGCAGTCACATGATCACCATGTAGTCACATGATCACCATCATGCATCACATGATCACCATCATGCAGTCACATGATCACCATCATGCAGTCACATGATCACCATCATGCAGTCCCATGATCACCATGCAGTCACATGATCACCATCATGCAGTCACATGATCACCATCATACATGATCACAGTCACATGATCACCATGCAGTCACATGATCACCATCATGCAGTCACATGATCACCATCATGCAGTCACATGATCCCCATGCAGTCACATGATCCCCATCATGCAGTCACATGATCACCATCATGCAGTCACATGATCACATCATGCAGTCACATGATCCCATGCAGTCACATGATCCCCATCATGCAGTCACATGATCACCATCATGCAGTCACATGATCACCATGCAGTCACATGATCACCATGTAGTCACATGATCACCATCATGCAGTCACATGATCACCATCATGCAGTCACATGATCACCATGCAGTCACATGATCACCATCATGCAGTCACATGATCACCATCATGCAGTCACATGATCCCCATCATGCAGTCACATGATCACCATCATGCAGTCACATGATCACCATGCAGTCACATGATCACCATGTAGTCACATGATCACCATCATGCAGTCACATGATCACCATCATGCAGTCACATGATCACCATGCAGTCACATGATCACCATCATGCAGTCACATGATCACCATCATGCAGTCACATGATCACCATGCAGTCACATGATCACCATCATGCAGTCACATGATCACCATGCAGTCACATGATCAACATGCAGTCACATGATCATCATGCAGTCACGTGATCACCATCATGCAGTCACATGATCACCATCCTCATCTACGACACTCAACTCTGTTCGCAGCTGCTGCCGATGAAGCCGGTCCTGCAGGTGCACTGCCCGGAGACGTGGTCGCAGTCGGCCCCGTTCTGGCAGCGGCAAACCTCGGCGCAGTCACGACCGTGGAACCCAGACGGACATCCTGAGGAGTCAGAGGATCAAGGTCAGACATGAATCAATGCATTTCTCTGCAGCAAAAGTTTAAGGATTGAAAAGAAACAGACACGATATTTGAAAATACTCTTGATACTGGAAAAAATAATGGACACTACTTTAATTATTTATTAAGATTCTTGGACAATAAACTGAATTTTTGTATTGGACCAAAAGGTTTTATACAAGGTCTTCTGTTATAGTTAAAATATGTATCAAAAACGCCTCAGTCCTAGGTCTACAGCCTCAGTCCTGGGTCTACAGCCTTAGTCCTGGGTCTACAGTCTCAGTCCTGGGTCTACAGCCTCAGTCGTGGGTCTACAGCCTCAGTCGTGGGTCTACAGCCTCAGTCCTGGATCTTAAAAACCTAAAATCTACGCCTATGACAACGGAGCACGGGGCTGGAGGCAGACGGTGGAATTTGAGTTATTGGAGTAGATGTCGTTGCGTCTGTAATGAACACGAACAGACTCCGGTCTCTTTGACACAGAAAGAAAAGGCAGAAAAATATTTTGAGATTTTAAAGATTGGAATTTTTTTTTGTTTTCTCGGATTGCAAAAAATGTCTTTTTTTGGACTTCTTTGGTCTTTTTTTTTTCTTTAAAATCATTCAGAGTTTTGAAAGATTTGACCTATAGATCTGTGTATTCTTGACTTTCGACAGCATGTATGTGTGTGTGTGTGTGTGTGTGTACCTGTGTATGTATGTGTGTGTGTGTGTGTGTGTGTACCTGTGTATGTATGTGTGTGTGTGTGTGTGTGTGTGTGCCTGTGTATGTATGTGTATGTATGTGTGTGTCTGCCTGTGTATGTATGTGTGTGTGTGCGTATGTGTATGTAAATCTATGTGTGTGTGGTACCTATGCTCCTGATGAACATAGGTCCCCCAGCTTTAATGCAACAGCCTGTATAAATAATGTGGTCGTTATGTTTTTAATTTTCAATATAGATCTTTTTGAGTGTGAATTAAGAGTCGGTTAATTGCCTGTGTGTCATAATAAACAGCAGCGGTGGGTGCAGTGCACACAGCGGCCGCCAGGTGTCAGTGTTCGCCCAGACTCACGCTGTGTGCAGTAGAGACCCGTCCATCCCGCGCTGCACCTGCACTCCCCGTCATACGCGCTGCACTGGGCCCCGTGGTGACAGTTACAGGAGTTCAGGCAATCGGGGCCCCAGTGACCTAAGGGACAGGCTGCAGGGGCCAAAAACACAAACACAGGTACAGTCAGGGCCCCAGTGACCAGAGGGACAGGCTGCAGGGGCCAAAAACACACACACAGGTACAGTCAGGGCTCCAGCGACCAGAGGGGCAGGCTGCAGGGGCCAAAAACACACACACACACACAGGTACAGTCAGGGCCCCAGTGACCAGAGGGGCAGGCTGCAGGGGCCAAAAACACACACACACAGGTACAGTCAGGGCCCCAGTGACCAGAGGGACAGGCTGCAGGGGCCAAAAACACACACACAGGTACAGTCAGGGCCCCAGTGACCAGAGGGACAGGCTGCAGGGGCCAAAAACACACACAGTTGCACACAAGGTCCCCAGCAGAGTCCCAGCAGGAGGCCAGTCCCTGTGCTCCTCAGTTCATGTTCTTGACTCTTCTTTCACACTGCCCATTGTTTCCTTATGTGTATTTTTTCTAGTTCTGTGGTTTTCTGATGTGCACACTGGGTATTTTCGCACTAATATTCCAAGGTGTTTTTTTTTTAGCCGCAATTGACGATTAACCTGAATCCATTTATCTCTATATATCTATGTATTTTTGTATCGCCCTAAATCACAACAACAGCAGGACTTTACAAAGCTGTCCATTCACCAACAGCAGATCAGAGAATCAAACAGTTCACACACAGGAAACGCAGTGATACCAACACAGACCATAATAAACGTGACATATTGAATAATATGAGGCTGAAATATCGCAGTACTATCAAATCCTCACATTGTTGCCAGTTTCTGTTTCTCCTGAGAGCTGGTATTTAGATGAGATCACGGAGACAGACGGAGGAGAGTGAGCGTCAGTGGTTTTGTAAAACGCAAAACCTCAAGGACAAGAAGCAAAACCTGAAAATCGCTGATGTCTCAGAGATGAATGTGTAAATGTGTCGTCTCTGCGGCGAGATTCACTCTAATGGGACTTTCAGACGGATTTAAGATCAGATAAGACAAGCTGGATTCCTCCCACAGCGGAGAAATTTCAGTGTTGCATCGCACCGACGTGACAATAGCAAGAGCAGACAAGGAACACACAAAATACACACAGATACAGAGCCGTGGAAGATTCTTAAATATTTGTGAATGCTTCGTAATAAAAGCAATGAGAGTATGTCTGTATCTGGTATGTAATGTAAGTGGGTGAAATAAAATCTGTCACAGTCTTCCTGAAAATGTCAGACAGGCTTCTTTTCTGACAATATTGAAATCCAGGTGAAAACAGATCTGAGGGTCTGTAATTCCCTGTTTTGGGGCTAACTTTAGTTTCTCCCGTGGCGTCTCTGTGTGTTTGTACAGTAGACCACGCTCTTGAGTCCTGGGCTCTGATTGGCAAGGTCGGGAGCTGACTGATGGGTGCTGATTGGGCAGAAGCTGAGGCAGTCCTCCAATCACGCGCATTCACCTGGAGGACCTGCCAATCTTCCGCAGCGTCGCGCAAATTTAGTAATTTATCTGTGTTTTCAGTCATTTGTAACTTTAGTTTAGTTCAGTGACTTAGTTTAGCTTTTTCTTTTGGTTCTGTCGTTTTCTTACTAGTTTTATAGGTAACTCTGTGTGTTTTGTAAATACTTAATCCTATTTTGTTACTCGTTTTACCCATTGAGTGTATGAACTGTGCTATTCAAATAAACTTGCTTTGCCTATAACAATATTTATAATAGACAATAACATGGAAATCTATCATAACTGTTTTAAATACTTTCAATTATCCCTAACCCTTTACACTCGATATTATGTCAAAACAGCAATCACCGTAATTTACTTTTCTCTCTGAGCTGAGACTAAAACAAAAAGAAAACATTCCAAAACACTGGCTCTGGATCTTGGCAAGAAGTTAAAAAAGATTGAATAATGGACGTTTGGAAACATCTCATTCCAGTTCATGAAAATAACAGAATGAAAAGGCAGCAGCGACACGTCTCAGAGAATCCGCGGAATTCTTGTCCCAAAAAACAGAATTCCCACAGTTTGGGAATTTCATAAATGAGAAGAAGGAGAATTCTTTTAGTGTTTTTCTGGACTCTCAAAGACGCTCCACATGTTGTTATTCATTCACTTCATACACGGTGGTGCAAGCTAGTCACAGCTGCCCTGGGGCACACTGACAGAAGCGAGGCAACCAGTCTATGTCGTTGGCCCCTCCCACCAGACTCATTCTAGGCAATGTGGGGGAAGTGTCTTGCCTAAGGACACAGCAGCACTTTACAGCCGCCCCACTGTGGCACCTGCTGTTCCCAGAGGTTAAGTGTCTTGCCCAAGGACACAACGACAGCAGACAGTGGGAGTCGATGGAGAAAGTCTTGTGGTGGGCTCGAACCCACAACCTTCAGGCTCAAAGACCAATGCTCTACACACTGAGCTACTGTCGCCCCATCTAGAAATATCTCTCTCCTACCGTTTGATTTTTAAGCATGTTTTAACACTATAATCATTCACATTTCTCTATCGGTCTCTTCTTCTGCGACACTCGACCAGAACGTGACACTTCAAACCCCGCAGACCTCCATGTGACCTGTGACCCCGGCTCGTGTCAGACACAATCGCCCTCAGCACACGCCCGAGTGAGACCTCCCCCGGTTTATTAGTGACTTTGCCTTAGGCCGTTAATGCCTCGGAATCGCACACATCCATTTCCTCGGCTCTGACTGCTCACAGATCTCAGAACGATCTTTGGCCCCGGGAGGCGTAAATCAAAGGGCATAATGTATTACAACAATCATTTAAGCCAGATTTGTAATTTACATCAGCCGCAGACACGAGGCAGGCGGAGGTGATGAAGATGATGAATGAGAGGAAGGAGTTAGTGGAGAAACAACGACGGAGGAGAAATGGAAGAAAGCCTGAAACTCGAAAAACACAGGTTGTCAGTGTCGCTACAAACGGACACACTTTTCTCCTCTTTCTGCTTCATCTGTCTTCATTATGACTTCAGCTGTAGTCTGTTCATTGCTATTCACCCGCTGTCCCGATGTTTGTTTTGTCGTGCGATGATGGGACCCCTGAACTCGGGCTCCTCCATCTTCACCTGTGGACTGTGTTCCCGGCCCGGACTCATGGGCTTTGGTCCTTGATCTACAGCCTCAGTCCTGGGTCTACAGCCTCAGTCCTGGGTCTACAGCCTCAGTCCTGGCTCTACAGCCTCAGTCCTGGGTCTACAGCCTCAGTCCTGGATCTACAGCCTCAGTCCTGGGTCTACAGCCTCAATCCTGGATCTACAGCCTCAGTCCTGGGTCTACAGCCTCAGTCCTGGGTCTACAGTCTCAGTCCTGGGTCTACAGCCTCAGTCCTGGGTCTACAGCCTCAATCCTGGATCTACAGCCTCAGTCCTGGATCTACAGCCTCAGTCCTGGGTCTACAGCCTCAATCCTGGATCTACAGCTTCAGTCCTGGATCTACAGCCTCAATCCTGGGTCTACAGCCTCAGTCCTGGGTCTACAGCCTCAGTCCTGGATCTACAGCCTCAGTCCTAGGTCTACAGCCTCAGTCCTGGATCTACAGCCTCAGTCCTGGGTCTACAGCCTCAGTCCTGGGTCTACAGCCTCAGTCCTGAGTCTACAGCTTCAAGAACATAGAATTGAAAGATGGAGAATGAGTGGAGGCCTTCACCTTGAGAGCAGTCGTCTCCGATCCAGCCCGGGAAGCACTGGCAGGACCCGTCGATGGGGTTACACGTGCCGTTGTTGGTGCAGAGGCAGATGTCGGAGCAGGCGCGGCCGTACCTGCCCGAGGGACACACTGCAGACACAAGAATTAATTAAAGACCGGGCCCTGCAGTAAATGGATTTCTAATTGAGATCTGGATTGAGACACAGCAAATCGTCACGGAGACACCAGGGTCTGATTCTGCTGTTTCAAGCTCAGTTGGGAGGGATGGGAGTGGGTTCTATGCTCATTTAGCCGAAAAAAATACATATGTAGAGGACTTGTGGTGTAATGCAGGGGAAGGGAAGTATATTTGTATTGAACAGTTCAGAAATGAGGTGGAAGTGCGGAACAAAATAATATAGAAACAGCCACATAAGACATTAAAATAATCACTAATAAAACACAGTACATTACAAAGATCCTTCAGTCACAGCTAAAAAGAACCGTTTTTAACCTGGATTTGAACAGATGAAAAGAGATGAAGCCTGTCTCATATCTTCAGGAAGACTGTTTTAGCTGCATGAATCTGAAACGCTGCCAGCCCATGTTTAGTAAGTAAGTAATGTTTATCTATATAGCACATTTTTGCAGACCAAGGTCACCCATATAGTTCCATTCTCTCCACACGGTGATGACGGTGAGTCCTGAACACACCGGTCCATCAAAGCCTCCATCAAAGCCTCCGACCAAACACCCTCCGACCAAACACCCTCCATTCACTCTCTCATTTACATTCAGACCTATTGTGCATGTTTTTAGGGGTAGGGGAAACCGGAGCACCCGGAGGAAACCTACGCAAACACGGGAAGAACATGCTAACTCCACTCAGAAAGGTCCTGTTCTGACCAGAATTCGAACCCAGAACCTTCTTGCTGAGAAGCAAGTCTCAGTGCTCCTCCGAGTCCCAGAAGGAGACCAGTCCCTGTGCTCCTCAGAGTAAATCTAAGTTAAACGTATTAGTAGATAGAAACATTATGGATTCCAGCACACTCCATTCTAAAGCTGTACAGGTTTTCAGTCCGACTCGATGACCCTTGGACCAGTCTGCAGAACTCGACGACCCTTGGACCAGTCTGCAGAACTCGACAACCCTTGGACCAGTCTGCAGAACTCGACGACCCTTGGACCAGTCTGCAGAACTCGACGACCCTTGGACCAGTCTGCAGAACTCGACAACCCTTGGACCAGTCTGCAGAACTCGACGACCCTTGGACCAGTCTGCAGAACTCGACGACCCTTGGACCAGTCTGCAGAACTCGACGACCCTTGGACCAGTCTGCAGAACTCGACGACCCTTGGACCAGTCTGCAGAACTCGATTCTCACTAAAAAGTTTAAAATGTGATCTATTCCATCTTTAACTCGGGCTTGTGCAAAATCCAGAAGGATCAGAACGAGACCAGGCTGAAACATCATTCAGTTTCACAACAAAGGGGATCAAAGTGAGATGAAGTGGTCCGTCCCGCTCCCTGGGGAACCTAAACTTTCTAAATATTACGACAGAAGGTTTTTTGTTCCAGGCCCTTTAGGAACGCCGTTAGTTCTCACAGATAAATGTAGCGTTGTTTATGCTACATTTTACATTTTGAACTTGGGCCGAACCTTTCCTTCCTTTCCCATTCTTACAAAACTCATTCATTATAAATAAGAATTATCAAAAAATCCACTCTTCTCCAACTCTGAGCAGACGCAAAAACCGACCAAGCACTAATTCCCACATGAGAAAAAATAACGGCTATTTTCCGCTCATAAAAACAGGTCAAATTTAACCCGTTTTTCTGCCGTTCTGTGTCTGACTCGTTTCATAGACTGTATATAGACAGACAATGCTAACATGCTAACATGCTAGCTCAATGATGCCCAGTAGGGAAGAGCTCACTGGCCTTTCTGTGTGGAGTTTGCATGTGCTGCTTGTGTCTGCCTATGTTTCCTCCAGGTGCTCCGGTTTCCTCCAGGTGCTCCGGTTTCCTCCAGGTGCTCCGGTTTCCCCTACCACTGTAAACATGTACAAAAGGTCTCCCATCTCTGTGGTGAGTGAGAGACAAATGCCCACAACTATTGTAAAGTGCTTTGTGACTCTGGTCAAAGGCGCTATATAAATAACTTACTTCTGTTCAAAATGGCGTCTTCCGCATTAAGGCTGACACTTTGGTGATGTCACACTCTGTCCACTCCTGATAAACAGTCTATGATTCTGACCAATATATATCAGTCAATCAAACCAATACCGGTTAAACTACACTGGAAAAAATAAGAAGAAAATAAATGAAAATAAGTAAAATACTGCTTAAAATAATAAAAAATATCTGCCAAAAGATTTCTGATAATAAAAAATAACACTAGCCCCAACAACTTGATTCTAGTTTAAAAACATACATTATTTACTTATTGAATAAATATTTTTGAGATTTTTTTTTTAATTAAAATAGGGCAAAACAAACTCATTTTATTCAAACAAGAAAAGTTTTCTGGAAAAAATATGAAAAACAAGCTTAAAAATTCTCTAATCATGATGAAGTATTTTAAAAATAATCTTATGACAAAATACATTCAAACAACAAAACACTTTTATTTTTGGTAAATAACATAAATGATCCAGATTTGAGTTTTTTCAGTGTGGGTTGTTTTTAGAGTGTATCTTTAAAGGGGAAGTCCCACAGCTGTTTTCCGTTGTCATCTTCACTCTGGAAGTTGTTTGTAGCCGTTTGAATGAGCAAGAACTAAACATGGATCACATTTATTATTCACTGAGAGTAAATCAGAGACAGCTCAGAAGGAGGAACTTAAAGGGGAAGTGTCGAAGCTGTTTGCCGTGTCACTCACTGCGACTTTAATACACTGGACCACCCACTTCTCCTTTCTCTAATGTGGCTCCCTGGGGTCCTGGACTGTCTCCCCCGGGCCTGGGTCCTGGGTCTACAGCTTCAGTACTGGGTCTACAGCCTCAGTCCTGGGTCTACAGCCTCAGTCCTGGGTCTACAGCCCCACTCCTGGGTCTTCAGCCCCACTCCTGGGTCTTCAGCCCCACTCCTGGGTCTTCAGCCTCAGTCCTGGATCTACAGCCTCAGTCCTGGGTCTACAGCCTCAGTCCTAGATCTACAGCCTCAGTCCTGGACCTACAGCCTCAGTCCTGGGTCTACAGCCTCAGTCCTGGGTCTACAGCTTCAGTCCTGGGTCTACAGCCTCAGTCCTGGGTCTACAGCCTGAGTCCTGGATCCACACCCTCAGTCCTGGATCTACAGCCTGAGTCCTGGATCCACACCCTCAGTCCTGGATCTACAGCCTCAGTCCTGGGTCTACAGCCTCAGTCCTGGATCTACAGCCTCAGTCCTGGGTCTACAGCCTCAGTCCTGGATCTACAGCCTCAGTCCTAGGTCTACAGCCTCAGTCCTAGGTCTACAGCCTCAGCCCTGGACCTACAGCCTACAGTAAGACTAACACCCGCATTAGTGGAAGCTAACGGGGATCCCCAACACATAACAAACCCTAAATCTCACCGTAGACCCAGAAAGTTCCCTTCATAAACTTACAACACTGTCATTGCACTGATTGGACACTAAAAGCTTATTAGCAGAGTCAACAGAACTGAAGAATGACTGATGTCCCACAAAATTAAAATAGACCCTGTACACACACCACACCATGCATATTTGATGAGATTCATATTTCACGGCTCTCTTCAATAAAACATGTCATCACCAGAGAAAGCGCCATTGTGCGTTTGGGACAAATGGAGGGCGCAGGTTTGAGGATGCGACCGTAGCCTGCGGAGGATCAGATAGGCTCGTTTTAATTAATACATGTGAGCGGCTGGTCCTGCTGCTGCCGCTGTCTGTCCTCAGCACCCGACCAACATCTGCACTTCTCCACCAGCCATTTCAGGATTAAAAATACTCACTTTTCTTTCAAATTCGTATCTATTCCAGCAATTAAACGGATGCGGGTGATAAAAGGTGTTGAAATGGTGTGTTTATTGTGGATACATTTTAGGTCAGAAATGTAAATGTTTATATAAGATGGACAGCCTTTGTTGATTTGCTTTTATGGCTTTCAGAAACATGTATGGTGACTATGTCTTTGTGTTCGTTGTGTTTTTGTGGTTGCTTTTTTCTCTGTTTTTGTGTGATCTGGTGATTTGTCTGATCACCATACCATACATACAAGGGGTCACGGAGCAGATACAGAGAGCACTCGGAAAACACAACATCAATGCAATAATCAAACCACACAAGAAGCTCAGACAGATCCTCGTTCACCCAAAAGACAAAATACAACCGGAAAAAAAGTGCAATGTCATATACGAAATACCATGTAGAACCTGCAATAAAACATACATCGGGGAAACGGGGAGAGCTTTTAGCACCAGAAGAAAGGAACATCAAAAGGAATGCGAAAAAGAAACGGCAGCGCGACTAACAAGAGCAACCAAGGAAAAGGCAACACGGGAAAACCTCAAATCAGCAACATCAGACCACTGCAAACGAGAGAATCACATCATGGACTGGGACAATGCAAAAATAGTAGGAACAGAAGAACATAAATACAAAAGATGGATACGAGAGGCGATCGAAATCAGGAAGCGGGGAACACGGACCATCAACAGAGACGAGGGGGCCTTCACCTTGGCTCACACTTGGGATTCACTTCTCCAGAGACCACAGGGGGGCGGGGGGCGTGGTCAGTCTGATGGATCTGTGAGATCTGTCAGACTGACTGCTTCCGGCAACAACAGCTGATAAGAGACGCGTCGCACCATCACGTGTCACCTCTGATGAAGGCGGAAGTGTACCGCCCAAACATGTCAGGTATTTAAGCAGTACTAGCTTTTTTTGCTTTGATTGTCTTATTAGAAGAACCTAAAAAGCCGTAAACATAAGAAGACAGAATGAATTTTCCACATTTAGTGAAGGATCGATCATGCAGCCTCCACAGCCGGGGTTTCCAAGATGGCGGCCTATTTAAATCAATGGCTCGTGCTCAGTGGCGCCCCACCATGGGCACCGAGAGATTAGACGTCCTCCCGGTTCTGCGCGGTGGACAGGGTCTCTGTCAGGGTCTCTGTCAGGGTCTCTATCAGGGTCTCTATCAGGGTCTCTGTCAGGGTCTCTAGAGTCTCTGTCAGGGTCTCTGTCAGGGTCTCTGTAGGGTCTCTGTCAGGGTCTCTGTCAGGGTCACTGTCAGGGTCTCTAGAGTCTCTGTCAGGGTCTCTGTCAGGGTCTCTAGAGTCTCTGTCAGGGTCTCTGTCAGGGTCTCTGTCAGGGTCTCTGTAGGGTCTCTGTCAGGGTCTCTGTCAGGGTCTCTGTCAGGGTCTCTAGAGTCTCTGTCAGGGTCTCTGTCAGGGTCTCTGTCAGGGTCTCTGTCAGGGTCTCAGTCAGGGTCTCTGTCAGGGTCTCTGTCAGGGTCTCTGTCAGGGTCTCTGTCAGGGTCTCTGTCAGGGTCTCTGTCAGGGTCTCTAGAGTCTCTGTCAGGGTCTCTGTCAGGGTCTCTGTCAGGGTCTCTGTCAGGGTCTCTGTCAGGGTCTCTGTCAGGGTCTCTGTCAGGGTCTCTGTCAGCTGAGGTCGAGCTGTTATAGTTTATATTGAGTTCTATGGGACTTTCTGGGTAACGTGAATTCAGTCTGCAGTCCCACAGCTCCCATGGGAGAGTTATAAGATAGTAATACTCTATCCAGTTATTATTATAGAACCACGGGAGCCTTCTGTCAGCCTCCCGTGAGTACCCTCTTGCTAGCCTCCCGTGCATAGCCTCTTGCTAGCCTCCCGTGAGTACCCTCTTGCTAGCCTCCCGTGAGTACCCTCTTGCTAGCCTCCCGTGAGTACCCTCTTGCTAGCCTCCCGTGAGTACCCTCTTGCTAGCCTCCCGTGAGTACCCTCTTGCTAGCCTCCCGTGAGTACCCTCTTGCTGACCTCCTGCGTGTACCCTCTTGCTAGCCTCCCGTGCATAGCCTCTTGCTAGCCTCCCGTGAGTACCCTCTTGCTGACCTCCTGCGTGTACCCTCTTGCTAGCCTCCCGTGCATAGCCTCTTGCTAGCCTCCCATGAGTACCCTCTTGCTGACCTCCTGCGTGTACCCTCTTGCTAGCCTCCCGTGCATAGCCTCTTGCTAGCCTCCCGTTGGGCCTGCGATGTCCCGGTCACGTGGCTTTGGTCGCTCTGTGCGGTCTCGTAATTACACACCAGACAAATTAGCAGCTCCTCCATTTCCCTTTTCTCTTCCTTCCACTAACACATTAAACTTTTATTTGTACGACATGGCTCAGAGTTTGAAAGAGAATTAAAAAGACCCCTGTAGCTTCCCAGCCGTGTGAAAAAAAACGTGATTGTGATCATTAGCCGCAGAATCTACAGTACATTTGCATATCTGGCATCTGTAGAATCTGGCAGCTTCCATAGAGCGACACACAAACCTTATGAC